CCTCTTGAGGTCCCTTCCAACTCGGATATTCTATGATTCTATGATTCTAATCAAAAGCCAGGAAAACTCGTCAGCACGCAGTGCCAGGAGCTGTGTTTGAATTGCAGATTTGTACCAGTGGAACTCTCCCAAGCACCAGGAAGCCTACAGAGGGCTCACTAGGATTGCCCATTGGAAGCCTGACTCTACCAGGAGGCCTTACCTGCACTTGACCCCACAATCAGCCAACTATCTGCACAGATGAGTTCATAAGCAATCATAGCATTTTATTAACCCCAATCAGCCATAGTGATGTGGTTAGTGATCAGGATTTGTTGCTTTCCCCAACACAACTTAGGTTTGATGCCTGATCATGGAAACCTCTTACCTTGTTGCCTCTGGTGGTGCTGCTCCTTGGAGGCTGCTTTGAACTTAGCATATTCTAGTTTCTTGTGTTTTTTCCCCTTTATTTTTCTTTGTTCTCGTGCTCCCTTTCAACCTTCGAACTTCCAGGGGCTGGTCTCAATGGGTCTTTGATTTATCCTCTGGCCTACCCCACCCACCCAATCCCACACACATGTTCCTCCAGCTCATGTCAGCATTGTGCAGAGATGGTGCCTCATGCCTTTTCTCCCTGCTGGTCCAGTGAGCTGGAGGTAACATTGGTATGACATGTTAGATTTCACAACAGAATGAAGTGGAAGATTTTTTTGATTCGGAATGCATATGCTAGCAGATAATCAGCAGGGAGCAGAACAAAGGGTAGCAAAGTTGAGAATTAATTTTGGGAATCCATGCTTGCCCCCACACATGTGGAATAGGAGGAACAATTTATTCTGTGCTTCTATATTGTCTGTCGGTCATGGTTCTCAAACTGTTCTACAAATAAAATGTTTATAGAAGTGGAATCTATTGCTGAGAGGTTGAGCATACCTCAAGTGTACTTAATTTTGGAGGGAAGGAAGTTGCTGTAAAGCAGGGGTTCTCAAACGGGGGTTACCAGGTTATTATGGGGGGCATCCCGAGCTGTCAGTCTCCACCCCAAACCCCGCTTTGCCTCCAGCATTTATAATGGTGTTAAATATATAAAGTGTTTTTAATTTATAAGGGGGTCAACACTCAGGCTTGCTATGTGAAAGGGGTCAACAGTACAAAAGTTTGAGAATCACTGCTGTAAAGTTATCTGCACTGCCTACAAACTTGGTATCTCCATTTATTGGCTAATTACTTCAGAAGTGAATTATATAAAGTTATTTACACTACAGGAATGAATCTCAGATCATTTGAAGTCTCCTACATCAATGTTATGTCATTTTGAGAATTTTCTGATGTTCTACATTTGGACTGTTGCAGGTTGAAAGGCATGATGGTGGAGGAGGAGGAGGAAAATGGATAGTAGAAAGAAATCAGTGCAGTAATAGACCAAGTGTGTGAAAAGGTGGGAGAGGAAAAAAAGGCAGATATACAGAATATGGACAGATGGTGAGACGCATTGTCACAATGTACAAGGAGAACAAAAATTATAAAAAAAACCCAGCTATTTTTATAAGTTAATATGAGCAAAAGAAAATCAGTACCAAGTTACAAACAAAAATGGATATTAGAGCAAGAAGAAGAAAGGGAGGAAGAAAATTACATGATGTGTTTATGTTTTAGAAAGTTATTTATTCAATGTGCTGAACCTGTGATTTAGCAATGGCCTGGCTCTTTCTAGTAAAAATAAAATACTTAGTCTCCTACCCTTTGACCATGCTCCAGGTTTGACCCTGTGCCCTTTGAACACTGTCACCCTCTTTTTATAAGGATTGCTAGGTACAGTATAATTTGGAATTTCCTTTATACTTAGAATAAGATGAAGGTGGTACATAACATTTAAAATTCAAGGGCCCCACACCACAATATTTGCTGAATATTGTTCTAAGTATTCATTTCCTATAATTAGCAACTGAGCTTCCTAAAATGCAGAACAAGAAAATCTCTTGCATGCCACGTTAATGTATAATAAATACAAATGTCCTTCAGACAGCATCTTTTGCTCTATAGGTATGCAGCTTCAGCTAGCTGCTAATGGTTTTCTATTTTACATGTGACCACCATCTCAGGCTGTGGGTAGATAATCAAGTGGGTTTTGGCTTCCAAATCAATTAGAAAGGCAATATTGCAAAACTACTGTGGATCATGAAACTGAGAACTGGCTTGGCTAGCAAAACGAGGATGTGATCCCGTTAAGTACTTCAATTCACACCCTAAGTTTAAAAAATTGATCCCACATTTCTGACTTAAAATTGACTAACTTTAAAATGACACCTATATTAACTAAATACAGAAACATGACTTTTTTGCTTCATTTGTGCATGTGGTGCTTTGTGTACAATTAGACTAACACTAGTCAGTTTCCTGTTGATTAGGTTCCTTACAAAGCCACAAGAGAAAAATTGAAAAAAGTGATTGTAAAAGGACAAAAAATAGCTAGTGTGTGTGTGTCTCTCTCTCAGCCAAAAGTAGAAGCCAAAACTGCTTAAAAATCTAGTCAATATGAAAAATCGAGTTAAAGTTGACAGTGTCCCTTTTAAAAGGCACAAATACAACAAAAGACAACTCACTTTGATTGTTACTAACACACACACAAAAATTACTTATTGAAATTGTCAGTTATCAAGAAACATACATGAGTAGAAATGTATGATTTATAAAAAGTAGCAGCAACAATGCCATTCTAAAAGGTTGAGTCTCTGCATGATCATTTATTTTAAAGATTATGCATCTGTGGTAAATACATCATGTTTTTACATAATTTAATTTTTTAGCTTATGATAATTATAAACTTCAATGAAAAGACTTATTTGTTCCCAAACATTGCTTTTCCAGTATAAGCACATAGGTTTGCCAAGTAAACTGAAGGGGAAAAAGTGCAGTTCTGCTCAGAAAGATGACTAAAGTGACAGTGAAGTTCAACATCTGAATGACTTCCATATCAAATCTGCTCAGTTTACAAGTGAAAGGATGGCTTTCCCAAATTGCCAATGCACTAAACTAAGCTGGGAATCTGAAAAGTTAAATTACATTTTCCTGGTTTGCAATTAACTAAAGTTCTGCAAATGAAATTTAGACCCGAATGGTGGAAATACTTAATTATGCACAGATGAGTAATCTCAGTTAATTCAATGAGGATGTAAAATTATTCACATGACTAAGCATTTACAAGATCGGGTTTTAATTGTGTTAATGGATGAGCCACTGATAGCTATGTGGGCTTTGTGATTCTAACAGGAATAAGTATTACCAATATATTGGTCACTAAGCAGATACAATAATGCACACAGATCTACAGAGTAAGATGGTGCCATTTTAAGTCAGCCACTTCTCTGTTCTGTCACTGTACTGTAAACTCAGTGTCAATCCATGAACAAAATGTTAGTGAAACTTTAATTATTCTTCCTCATATTAAACAGCTGTAGCAATTCTTTGAAATGCTGCCACAGGTTTTTCCATAGCGCAAAAAAAAAAAAAATTATCACTGTATTGCACAATTTGTAAGTGCAGGTTATGTGCATAAAAACCATCTTAATGTCCACATGGCAATTTGCTAAACATACATTTAAAACTATAATACAATTTACAAAATCTTTTAAAACAATTCTACTCTTAAAAGTATCCTGAGAATATTACAATGTTTATTTTACAAGCCCTTCATTTCTATGCTTTGTTTATCCCCTCAGTTGAACAAGTTTATTTTACATGAAATATTGTTGCTGTATTTTACTATTTATCTTTTAACAAAACAGTATACCATTTTCATTTGAGTAACTAATCAGCCTCGTATCTAGCCTAATTATAAATCAAGCTTTCTACATTTTTGAAATAGGCCAGGAAAAGTAACGTAAAATAATTTCAGAAACAGTTTTAGCTTGTTAAAAAAGATTCAAAGGCTTTGTGCATTTTTAATATTTTGGTCAGGTATTTAGGTTATGCTGTTTACATTTTGGCAAAAAAGAAAAAGCTCCAAACACCTTCAATACATTTTTCTTTGATTTTTTTATATAATTTGCAACTCTACAATATATTTTATACAACTAAGGTCATAAAGTACTTCACTCTTGTATTTTTATTTGCTTGTTTTCTTTTTAAAGGTGCTTAGAAAGATAGACACAAGTATTGGAAACAAATTCAGCATCTTTTGGCTAAATACAAAAAGTCTCGCTGGAAAAAATGTAAAATATTTGAGTTGCTTCCTCTCTTTACAGTTACTTAAATAAATACCCTTTATCTAAAGATAAATTCTAATTCCTTATCCTATACAACACCTGTCTGTAGTTTTGTCTTGTCAAGATTAAAGCTTCACACATTATCTTTACACAGTTTTATTAGGAAGATATCCATGTATTTGCATATTTTGAAAAGAGGGAGTTCAGGATTAAAAATATAGGCTTTTTTAAAGGTAAGTGCCATTCTGCTTACAATGTTTCAAGCTATAGCATAGAAAACCCAAGTTATGGAATATCCTTCAGTTTCTTATACCCTAGGTGAGAGAAAAAGGGCTCAGGTGAGTTGCAGAGGTAACCAGCTTGGATTCCACAAATGGGAGGGTGGTGGTTCATCATATCAGTGTCCCATGGGCCAGTTCCCTCTGTGGTGTAAGCACCTGCTTCAGAGGCAGAGATTTGCTTATTTTCTAGACAGAGGGGCAAACTCTTATTCATGGCTGCCAAAGAGTAAAAGTTTGTAGGGTGACAATTGTGGTTGTCAGAGTAAAGGGTTATCGTGATATAAGGTTTCCATCTGGACCTGGCTTAGGAGAAGGCCAGGTGTTCAGTGTGAGAAAAGTCCATGCTCTGAACAGAGGAGAGGTTACCACAAAAAGGGGACGGGGGGAAAACGGGACATTTCAGCAACATATTCTGTGTGTATACATTATAAATATATATAATATATATTTTACAGCTTCAGCTATGATTCCTACATTAGGCAATATAATCCAAATCTGAAGGACCTTGTTAATCTTTAAGGCATCATGGATTTAAGCTCCAGGAAATAAATATGAACACAGAAAAGCAAAAATCTTTGTGGCACCAATTGTAAAACTATCATTGGTACATGACATTTGTTGGCATTTCCATGAAAAATATCAGAAAACTTACACACAGTATTGACAAAAATATCAGAGCATAAATTTCACTTCATTTTTCAATACTTCATTTACTGGGCTAAATTGATCAGGCAAGATTCTCATTTTTACTGTTCCATCAGCTCCACAGGAGAATATGTGATTTGCTGGTCCTGTCTCAATCTGCATGACTCCTGTCCCAATGTTTCTGAAGATTGACTGTCGAGCATGCTCATTGATGAAAGTGTGAAGAAGATTAAAGGTAGATAAACTCCATATCTGAAAATTTTTAAAATAAATAACCAGTAATGTTTATGCTCTCAACTCACTGAAAATCATTAATGAAAACTCAGGACCACCTAGCTTGATCAGATGTTTCATACTTGGTCTTCATTTTCAATCACTAATATTCTCATAAAAATATTGAACTATAAAAATGCCATTAAGGTAACATCAAGGTTGCACAGATAAACATTGAAGTCAGGAAGTACAAAAGTTAAGGCTCATCACAGTATTTTAGAAGTTAAGACCTACTGAATGATCCATTTCCCTGGCAATGCAAAATTCTAGTTTAGTATTTTTAAGAGGGATTAGAATTTTGCAAATACTTAGTATGAAAACATTATACAATGCCTTGTCCCACCAAATTAAAGTTACCTTTATATTGCCTTCTGCCGATCCTGTAACAAAGTATTCTTCTGCAGGATCCACAGCAATTGCTTTAACGGGAGAATCATGACTCTGGAATAGCTGTCGTTGTTGCTTTTGGCGAAGATCAAGTATACAAGTAAAGCCTTTTCTGCCTCCTGATATTAAAAGCTGATGTTTTGGAGCATATGCTAGCACAGTTGCTCCACTATCATGACAGATAAAAGCTAAAATACAAAATAAAGAACGTAATACATTAGAAAACATAATACGTCAGCTTTAGCCTCCTCTTCAGCGCTAATGGTTTAACACAGTAGCAACAGTAACATAGGCTACTGAATTAGATGGAACAATGATCTGATCCAGCGTAACAATTCCTATCTATGATAGTGGCCAGTTCCAGATACTTCTGAGAAAGGCACAAGAAACCCTGCAGTATACAGTTAAGAAATAACACTGCTCTACAGCCAAAATGCTTCTGAAATAAATGTAGTCAAACTTTACTAATTCTGGGTCACTGAGAACGAAAATGATGCTTAAAATTGTTGATTGGCTCTAGTTTTCAAGATGTGCTATTGGGTCAGTATATACGACCCTTGACTTGGGAATGGCGGAGGATAAGTTATAAAGGGAATGGATCTCAATTTAAACCAGAAATGACTAAAATACATCTTTG